TATCGGTTGTATTATTTATGGCCACTATATTTTTGTTGCAATAATCTTTTAGTATAAAAATACACGTTTTAGGAGAGGTTGTTATACCAAAAAGTGCAGATATTTTTATACCAATTATAAAAATACATCGAGACGGAAATTATTGGCCAAATCCATTTGTGTTTGATCCTGATAGATTTCTCCCAGAAAGAATAAAGGATTGTCACGCATTTTCTTTTTTCCCGTTTAGTGATGGACCAAGAAACTGTATAGGTAGGCATGAATAAAGTATAAAGTATCATGATAAATTGATTTATATAATTATTAAATTGCAGGTATGAAATACGGAATGATGTGTACGAAAGTCATAATAGCAACACTGATACGAACATTCATATTTAAAGTTAATAAAAGTGTTGAATTAGATAAAATAAAATTGACATGGGACACAACATTATCTAGTACTGAGTCTTTTAAAGTCAAAATTGAAAAACGATACATCTCATAAAGTAGTATAGAAAATTATATAGCAAAGTATATGAAATATTTGAAATAACATTTTTGATATAATATATAATATTTTGCATATATATATTACATTAGTAGTCAGTTTTGACTTACTTCTTCTTTAGTTTATGACATTGTAACATATGGACAATAAAACATAAAATATTGAAATTAATCTTTAAAGATTTTTTATGCATTTATTAATTTTTAACAAAAATAATCAGTTTGCTTTTATTCATGATCATAATTCATGTTTTTAAAAACTAAAAGACATTGTTATTATCGACGTTTAATAATAAAACGTAAACCACAAAATTATAATTACACATATGTATATGTAATATTACGATACACATCTGGTTCTCTATTTGAGAAAAATTTTTTTAAGTTAAGATTATTCAATATTACGTGATCATTATTACCACAATTGTAAATGAAACAAAGCTAATTTATTCTTTGTTAGCAAGAACACTTTACACTTTTGACAGTAGAATTTGACTATTGATGACATTTACTAACGTTTTCAAGACATAAAAATGACTGTTTAACTGATAGATGTCATATTAAAAATGGTAAAATAACAACATATTGACCAGAAACTTATGGGAAGGGGGGACAAATAATGTTACTTTAAATTTCTCCTCTTTCCCGCGTCTATTTTATTACTACTTGTTAATAGAAAGGCAGTTCTCAAGCATTTAATCATCTTCTGAAAAAGCCGTAAAAATCAAAAGCCAAATATAGTTAGCATAGAAAAGTTTAAAAATTTGCATTTATGAAATAAGGTAAAACCGGATCTTTTCTTGATATTTGAAATTACATTTTTTTGATTACTAAATCATTGAATGAGATCTAATCTATTCTATGTTATACGGTACCTTTTTCCTCTATTTTGATATAATTCCTATGGTTGTATATTAATTTTATTTCTTTCAGTAAAGTTTTAAAGGAAAAAGTAGCTCCAGGGGCTTAATAATGACAATTTTTAGTTGGGTAAATAATGACAAGTCAAAAAGCATTTTTAATATTTAAATATGATTTTTCTAATTCATTTGGGACAATATGAGATTAGTTACAAGGCAAGATCCAGAATAAATGTGATTTTCAATAAGAAATACTAGCAAACAATGTTACTACTATTATTTATCAATAAATAAAAATTTATATGTGGTAGAGTACAGGAATTAATATATAATATAGTATAGGAAAGGTCGATTAGGAGCTAAGAATTATGTATTTTGTAATTGTCCCATGGAGTGTCACTATTTACCCATAGGGTGGAGCAAATAGTGACAAATGTAGGTTTCAGTTTTTATAAAAATCTACCCCGTATATATAACTTATAGAAACTCTAATTAAGTTTTTTGTATATTTGAAAGTGGAAAGTACTCTTTTAGTGAAAAATCATATCTTGTAAACTTGAAATTAGCTTGTAAGGGAGAGAGAAAAAAATCCGTCACTATTTGCCTCCCCTTCTCTTACTTAGAAAAAAATTTATAGCTTTCATCCTAAATTATTTTCTATTAAACTTTTCTATTAAAATGAAAATATTGTTAACTTGGCGATGCTTTTGTTATGTATCCCTACTTAAAATTTACTGAATTAAAGTTCAAGAACTATTATAATCTATTGACTGATCTATGCAATTCTTTCGATGTAAAATGAATCATTATATCTTGTAGACACTTATTGTATTTTTCAATATGCTTACACAATCTTACTGTATGTATTACCTCTATATCAGTGTTATCTATCTTTAGTTCAGTTTATTTTATATATATGTATTTGTCCTAGAAATAAATATTAACATAAACTAAAACGGATAGCATAAGAATTGATTAAAAATAGAATAAACTAATTCTGTAGTTCTTTTTATCACTAAAAATATAATCTTTTACTTTATAAAAAAATTTTCTATTTCTATGATATTTTTTTTTATATGTAATGTTTTTATATGTAATTTTTTTATATGTAAATTAAAGTTAAAATGTAACAAAGATCTTTTCTGCGTGATGCGTTCCGGAAACTTTCAAAGTAGTTGAAATCTGTACATTTTTGCCATCAAGATATCAAGGTATTCTGGTAGTCTGCAAAATAAATTTAAATTTTCCACTAACTGATTGTGAAAAATTGGAAATTGAAAATTTAATAAGTGGATTATTTATTAAGTATTAAAGTTATATAATGCATGTGTTATAAAAATAATATTAAAATATTTATCTATATGTTTTTGCTTACACATATGATTTTTTATTTTATACATTAGGCTAAACTAAGCGCTTTTGTTTTACTTAATGTCTATTTCTGTGACAAATGATTGATAAACAAACAAGACTAAAGATAGATAATATGAAAAAATTATTACATTGATATAAAGTATACATTTGCAAGTGCGTGCAAAAAAATACAATGAATATTTCACCGATGCTAATCATTTATATTGTATCGGAAACAATAACATATTGATTCGAACAGTGATTAATTCGATTTATCTCGGTACATCTCGTTCTGTGTAAATAAATCAGTTTAAAAACAGCTGATTAAGAAATTCAAAGTTTTAATTGAAAAATATGACAAATAAAGAGAGCGTCTTCTATGATTGAAGTTGGATTTTGATGTCTAATAATATTTCCATTTGAAAATTAAAACCATTTTTCTGCCATTTAAACTTCGTGCCGAATTAACGTCGGACTTGCAACGCAATCATTAGCTGAAGCTGGAATAGTAAAACCACAATTGATCTTCAATGTTTAACAATCAAATGGGAATAAGCGACTTAAAACACTGCAAAGAAATTATTTCACTGCAAAAAATATTACTTCAGCAAGAAATAATTTCGGCGAGCAGTTTAAATGGCCGAATAATGATTTTAAAATTCATACAGAAATATTATTAGACATTAAAATCCAGCCTCAATCGTAAAAAACGCTCTCAAATTTATTTGTAATTTTCACTTACACGATCTAATTCATATTATTATTATTTATATAAAAAATATGAAGCTGCAATATTGATAACAAAGACGTTGCTTTCACTCGTGATTGAATAATTTTTTCCTGCAAAATTTATCTATGTATACTATCTATATCAATTTATCTATAAAACATAAGTGTGAAAGTCTGAAATTTGTTTTTTTTCAATTCAGCTGACAATTTAATGGTATTTTAATTTTCGTCTTTAAGTGACTTTAAGAATCTGTCATTAGCAGATAGTGCGGTCTAAAACATCCTGTATAATCGCTGTGTCTACGCTCTATCTTACATCTATATAAAGATTTTTTGAGGAGAAATGCGATTTCTATCCTTCTTTGAAGATGATTATATGTGAGTACAAGACAGATATTGATTAATGATGATAAAAAATTTTATAATAGATATAAAAGTCAATTGCGCCAATGCAAATTAACTTAACTGTTTCATAGCATATGTATGATCATGTCTCACTTATACCCGCCAAAATTCATATTCTTTTGCTTAATATTATAGAGTATGTATAATACGTATAATACGTATTTACGTGAAAAACATTTCGAATATGCAAGATAAAGTTTACTCGTAATTGTTAAAAAATACTTAAATGTCGGAATTGTGAGTAACGCCTACAGAAATCGAATTGGAACTATTACAGAACTATTGAATAATATCAAAAAGTCGACTAGAACTCATAATAACGTGCTACTTTACTCTTATAAGATACTGACGTTTAAGTTTAAAAATCTTTTAAAAATAGTTAAAGTCAGCTAGGATCCTGAAACTTATCAGAAAATATAGAAGTCTTTAAGAACTATAGAACTTCATTGTAAAAATCCATTTTATGAAACTTGAAGTGATACGGAAAGTTGATACATTTTCTAAATACGATTTTTTAAAAATTAATTCATTAAAACTATTAAATTGAAAAGGCTAATACCGGTCATATTTTTTCGGCAGGATCTTGGTGCTTCTAATATTTCTATGTGATTTTACATACATATTCCAGTTTCAGTGGAATTATTGCTATAACTAATTATCAGGTACTGTAGAGAATTATTGCGAGGGCAGATAGTACTTGCATCGAAACCTGTAAAAGATGAGATGCAAACTTCACACACGCTCTGCATTGATTCTTTAATTGTTTGTTTAAAATCTACTTGTACCATTGATCAATATTTATCCTATGCTCACTCAGTTACTTTAAAAATAAAATAAATATTGCATTTCTTTGTAAAAACTCGTTACATACATATGAGACGGAGCATAAGTACAACGATTATATAGTAGTATACAAAAAATACATTGCACAATCCGTTTATGATTGTAATTTTTTTCATAATATTTTTATATATCACACTATACAACTTAAATTTCGAGTTTTTCTGGATCTGAATTCCTAATTTGAAGATAATATCTCTATTTTCTAATAATTTAAGAATCTAGAAAGGGCTAATAAGGATTAACAGTGTGGTAGAGTGCAAATTAAATTTCAATTAAGATAGAGTATTAAAGTATAGTATTTATTACTCCAACTTTATTCGAACGTTTTGGTTCCACTTTGAGTCATTTTTAACAAAGTTAACTGTGCTCAAACATTAACGGAAGGATTGAGGTTAAATCACTCTCAGATTGCCCAATCCAAAAATTGTAATAATTCCGAGGTTGGAATGGTATAGTAGTGATATAAAGATGTTCGCTTTTTCAGTATCTATAATTTCCAATCGTATCACAAACGTCAACTTACCAATAACGTAAATAATATCAATAAAGATGTCATAATTTAAAATGATAAATATTAAAACTGAAACAATAAATGATATAAGTATTTAAAAGTTTGCAAGTCAATTCTGACAATAAAAAAATAAAATTACAATATCATGAGATCACGTACGTGAGTCGGTCGGAAATCAAAAGTATAACAGTGTTTATTATTATACTTATATACATATATTATATTTTTATTATACGCATTATTATACTTTTAACTTGAGTACATCATCTGAAGAGGACCTTTATTACATTTTGTATCTTTATATAAATTTGTATGAGAAGAAATACAGGAACGCGGATAAAATGTTATTTTAAAAGCTAAAGACCAAAGTATAAAACGCAAAAATAAATTAAAAATTAAAAATTTAATAATATTTATATACATTTATATAAATTTAAACAAATAATAATATTATATATGATAGAAATATTA